GCATGCGTCTCCGTCGAATTCAGCCCAGTTGAATGAGTGATAGATTATGATTTTATTCAAAACTAGTTGACTGACGAAATATAAACTGATTAACTAAGATATGAAAAATATAAAATATGAATATAATTACCTGTCTCTCTCACCCCCAAACATGGATGCAAACGCCCATGCACACACACACACACACACACACACACACACACACACACACACACACACACACACACATCCATATTCACGTGTGCACTCACCCACACCCTGACCCAAAACAAATTTTCTCATAGTCTTGCGCATTTTCACCAAGAGAAGCTTACCAATATTGAATTTAGATTCATGATAAGACAGACAATTTAGGTAAATTTTCTTTTATTGTAAATTAGCACAATATACATGTCTCTCCTGAACAATGATGAATATAGTACTTTTCTGAAGAATGGGAACTATACACTCTATTGTTGATTATAACATGCTTTACAAAGGATGAACACATTTTTTATTCATTTAAAATTATATTTCTTAAATGCTTAATACATTTAACAAATCATGAGGTTAAAGGTGAAGGGAGTTCAGTTTCAGTCAAAAGACCAATAAAATAGTGATTATGTCATTCACAAGTCCTTTTAGAATTAGTCACTGGTGACTACTGTCATTACAAATGAGTCGAATGTATAGTTTAAAATAAAATGAAGCAGAATAGTTCTGAAAAGATCAATTTTATTTAAACTTATCCACATGCTCATATTTACTGAAGTTTCTGGTTCTCTTTAATGTGTCAATCATTTTCTTTAACTGATCTAGAGACTGAGCTCCTCCCATTCCTGTTGATGCCTCTATTTTGGGTAAGTACACATTGGTTATGTAGACCATTAATTTTGTAAACTGCTTATCATATACTTGATGAAGACAAATGCCAAATGCACTCAGGAAGGAGTTAAGGACAGCTGCCGTTACACCAGATATGGGTGGCAGTGAACACATTTTTACCAAAAGTTCCCATCCTAAGACAGGTGCATGGAAAGCACTTTCGGGCTTATTCTTCAGTCTATACAAAACCAGTCCATACATAAGGGCAGCATTCCCCATCCGCCCACAAAAAGCATCCTCTTTCTCCTTCTTGTACAATCCTCTGGCCTTTTCAAACTCCTCTTCGCTCTGGCCCTCCTCGGCTAGAGGGTAAATAGGAATGAGGTACGGACACGTCTCAAACATGTGGAAAAGAAAGAGGTCCCACATATCTGGGTGAATCTGGATTAGCTCTGTCATAAGCCAAGCATAGGCAGCTACCCCGACGCCTCCGCCAGCTTGCTTGTCGTGACCCAGCTTGACGATCATGCTGGCAATGTGATTGCACACACACACACACACACACACACACACACACACACACACACACACACACACACACACACACACACACACACACACACACACACACACACACACACACACACACACACACACACACACACACACACACACACACACACACACACACACACACACACACACACACACACACACACACACACACACACACACACACACACACACACACACACACACACACACACACACACACACACACACACACACACACACACACACACACACACACACACACACACACACACACACACACACACACACACACACACACACACACACACACACACACACACACACACACACACACACACACACACACACACACACACACACACACACACACACACACACACACACACACACACACACACACACACACACACACACACACACACACACACACACACACACACACACACACACACACACACACACACACACACACACACACACACACACACACACACACACACACACACACACACACACACACACACACACACACACACACACACACACACACACACACACACACACACACACACACACACACACACACACACACACACACACACACACACACACACACACACACACACACACACACACACACACACACACACACACACACACACACACACACACACACACACACACACACACACACACACACACACACACACACACACACACACACACACACACACACACACACACACACACACACACACACACACACACACACACACACACACACACACACACACACACACACACACACACACACACACACACACACACACACACACACACACACACACACACACACACACACACACACACACACACACACACACACACACACACACACACACACACACACACACACACACACACACACACACACACACACACACACACACACACACACACACACACACACACACACACACACACACACACACACACACACACACACACACACACACACACACACACACACACACACACACACACACACACACACACACACACACACACACACACACACACACACACACACACACACACACACACACACACACACACACACACACACACACACACACACACA